GATTTGCCATCTGTCAGAGGGTCAGGGAGGAGGTGACCAGATATGTGAGTTGTCCCTAGATAGGAAATGAACTGATGTCTGTCCCTTCATCTGGGTCCCCGGTGAGCCCAACTGTAGAGTTCACATCTTTGGTGGCAGTAGCTTTGTGGGTGTGAAGGTGGAAGGCCAGACGTGAGTGTCAGAAGGTGCCTGGGCACGACCGAGGTTGTGAGTTCTGGCAAGATTGTGAGAATGGATGTCTACGTGCCTGGGATCCACTGGGTCTGGCCCCGTGCCATTGGGTCTGTCTGGGTGGTGGCTCTCCACCTTTGCCCTGTGTCCATCAGTGGGCAGGCCTGTCTGACCCTAAGTGCCCGTGTCCTCAGTGGAGTCCGTGACACCATGCCGGTTTTCTGTCTGGGTCGGGTTCCGCTGCCTTCCCTTTCCGGTAAGTGCTCAACTGCTAAGTGATGGGGGAGGAGAGGAGCACTCTCCCCTTTGGCATGTGACTTCCGTCTACTGCTTGCTGTGATGAGATCTGTGCTCAGCAGACCTGGATAACAGCTGGGCTGTCACAGCCTGTCGCCCTAGGCTCCGCAGTGACCAAGCCAACATTCTAGGGTGACACGGCGCCCTGACTTGGAAAGGCAGCCCAGGATCCCGCAGTATGGCGCAGCTTCACAGGCTGTGCAGGAACACGGTTCTGTCTGAGACAGCAGGTCCGGCTCAGCTGCTAAGAAGTCAGCAGCACCATGGAATCCCTGGGCAGAAAGGTCAGGAAGCCACAGGGCCTCCAAGTTCACGTCACAGAGGAGGGAACCAGGCTCAGAGGGGAAGTGTCTTGCCTGAGGTCCCCAGCCATTCATCACTCACTCTTTATCCAGTGCTTATCTATTTGGCAAATAGCACCTATTGTGTGTCCATCACTCCACCAGGCACTGAGAAGAAATAACTAGAAGATGTTGCTATTATGGCACCCTTAATCTAGCTGGGGAGACAGCAGGAAGCTGATAGAACAGGTTAAAACCCAAGGCAGGAAGGCAAAGGGCTGTGGGAGTGCTGGAAGACAGCTGGATAATCTTGTCCTTAGAGACTGGGGAAGGTGCAGTAAGCTGAGCACTGGCTCCCTAGACAGGTCCACACACTAAGCTGCAGAACCTATAAGCCTTACACATGCCTTACACAGCATGGACTTTGTAGATGAGATTAGGTTAAGGATATTGGGATGGGGCAATTACCCTGATTAGCCTGGATTATAAGGGTGACCCCACTGTTATCACCAGGGTCTTTATAAGAGGGAGGCTGGAGGTCAGAATCACAGAAAGAGAAGTGATGATGAAAGCAGAGGTGAGAGAGAGAGAGAGAGAGACGTAAAGATTCTATGCTGCTGTTTTTGAAGATGGGGAGGGGACCAGCAGCCAAGGAATGCTGTGAATGGCTTCAGGGCTTACTAGGCCAAGACCCAGGCTTGTGCAGGGGCAGGAGATTTGGGAGGGAGGGCATTTCATCTGTTCCCCCGTTCCCAGGCAGCTCTGGCATAAATCCAAAGGGAATCAACGGCTATAGTTGAGCAAACCCCATTTCCTACTGCACCTTCCACAAAAGAAACCTGTGTGGCTTTAGTTTCTGGAATCCTGTTACAGCGGCCACAGGCAACCAACACTGAGGCTTCATCAAAGCTGGGGTGTGCTGGACTGTGCTCCATCTGAGGGGGACAGCTGTCTAGGGCGATGGCTCAGGGTGCTGGGAGATCTCTGGGCAGTCCAGCATGCCAGGCATGAGGGGTGTGTCAGGAGCCCAGGGAGGGCGGAGGGGGAGAGTGCAGCGTTGGCTATGTGACAGCCTAGGGTCAGCCCTTGCGACCCTGACGTTTCTCCAAGCTATTTGTTTCTGTGTAGCCCCTGTGTTCTCATTCTTGAGTGAGGACAACAACAGAAACTTGAGCATAGGATTTGAGGGAGTGATGAAACTGCTCTCTGCAAGGCGCTTTATGTGATGCTGGGCCCAAGTGAGCTCTCGGCAGAGCCGGCAAATACCGCATCTCTGTCAAGCGAATGGGGGGAGGGGGGGTTGTGCATAGAGGTTTGGCTCAGGAGCTTATCTGGCAGGGTGGGAAATGGGTTCTGGGTTGCTTGGCACCCCGGGCAGTAGCTTTTGCATCATTCTGTGCCTCCCTATTCTCAATCTTTCTAACCTCAGCGATGTCTCCCTGTTTCAAGAACACTTAAATCGAGCTATATTCAGGGGTGAGAAGAGAGCGTGGCTCTTTGGCAAGGAAAGTTCTGCTGTGTGGCACTACCAGAGCAGAGGCCACAGAGCTGCCCGCAAAGTGAGGACTGCACTGCCCTGCCCCACCAGGGGAGAGGCCGCCCTCCTCCTCACCAGCCCCTCTGCTGCCACTTGCTTCTCCACGCCTCCTCACAGACCCCCCCCCCCCCCCCGGGCTGCTTTTCTGCCTTCGCTCAGTTGCATCCAGGGCTCTTATGGTGGGACAGGGCTGGCTGCCTTCACGTCTCCCAGCTCGGTACTCCCAGACTCTCCCGCTGAGTGGCCGCCGCTCAGACACTTTCTTGCCCTGGCCTCCCAGACAGCCAAAGGAAGCGGATCCCTCAGGGCTGCGATGCCAAGCCAACTGGGACCACGTGGACCTGCTGTGCGCCAGGCTGGACATGAGGCATTCGGAGAAAATGAGAGTAGTGTGCAACCCTTGGCCTCTCATCTTCACAGCGGAGTGGACAAAAGACAGGCACAGGTACTGGCCAGCCCTTTGCAGATCAGCCTCTCATAGACACATGGCTTCTCTAATTCAATGCAGCTCCACCAGCCTGGGGGCTAGGAAGGACCCTGGGACACATTTCAGCGACATTGCATAAACAGCCGACCACTCCAGCCTCAGGTTAACAACGCCAGCTGAGTTTCAGAAGAGCTGGAGGGCAGAGTGGTGACTCAGAACCCTGGAGGCAGCTCGTGGACCTCGGCAGACCTCAGTCACCTCTCTGAACCTGAGTTACTCCATCTGTAAAGCCACTTCCTGGACTAGAGAGAGACAAAATCTAGAAAGGTGTACGTACAATAAGTGCGCAGTACCTAGAATGCTGGCAGTATACAATAGGTGCTTACAAACACTGGGACCAAATTCCTATCCCACGCTGTGGTCAGCCAGAGCCAAACAGGATAAAAGTCAAGTCCCTCATTTCCTTTCCTGCAAATCTGCCTTGGTCCTCCTGAATACTTCTAATTGCTCCTGGCCAGTGCTTGAGGACATAAAAGAGAAGGCTAAGAAGGATCCCCCCCACTTTCTCATTTTTTTAATTGGGGGTGCAGGAGACTCCAATTAGGGCAGTGGCGCCACAGAGAAGGAAACAGAGCAGCAGGCCCCAGGGCTGTTCTCCTGCTGAGAGGGATGCTCAGAAGGGCACAGTCAGCAAAGGGTTACCCTCCAGTGCAAACCCCCATCCTCCACTGTCGCTTCCTATTAAAGGGCCAGGCACGAGGAGCAAGCTGGACGGTGACAGCTGCTCTCATTAACGGCGGTTCGGTGGTTCACCCCCAACTTTTTTCCCTTCTGGCCTTCACTTGAAAAAGGAAAGAATAAGAAAGCAACAAAGAAAGCCATGGAAACAGCCAGTCTCTTAGGCTAGCATTCCCACATCTAGACTGGCAAGTAGGTCGGATGCTACTTTCTTCCTGGGACCCACGCTGATGTGGGAATTCCCTTTCCCTCTTTCTGACCACACTGGATCAGGCCCTGGCTTGCCTTCGGAAGCACCGTGCCCCAACAGGCTGTACAAGCAGGGAGAATGGGATCACCTTGTGAACAAGGCCTCGGCCTGCATCCTGCCTATGCTTTCCAGAGAACGTTCCCTGGAAAGGTTAGAGACGCTCCTGGACTCAAGCCTTTTGCTTAGTTGGCATACATTTACATACCCTGAGTTAGCATCCCTGAGAGGCCCTGCTAAGACAGGGAGAGTAACATGTATGTTACGCATGGGCCAGGCTCCATGGAATGGACAGCCTACAGAGAAGCGACGTCAATAACGAGAACAGTGCTGTTCCAGTGGGGAGTGGGGAGAGGTCATCGCAGGGAGCCATGGGCCAGCAGCCAGGCTCAGAAATCAGGACAGGATAAGGGGCTGCTTCCCATCTCGCCATTGTTCCTAATTCTTACTGTGATTGAGCAAGGATAATACTAACAGCAATGCAACCTCCATGTGTGGTGCTTAAACACGCAGCCATTACTGTTTGCTGGACTCCTGCTGGGCGGGGGCAAGCTGCTTAGAGGGCCGGGGAGGCACAACATCACAGCAGGTGTTCAGGCAGGTTTGCTGGCTAGGCCCCTCAAAGCTTTCAGCAGGCAGGAAAAGCAGAGAGGAGGAACGGGAGGCTCAGAGAGGTGGTGGGTGGTACTCTATGCTACGCTCGCCTAGAGCCAGCATGGATATAGATGACAAGGACAAGCTAGCCATATCCTTTCAGGGCACGTCAGCAGGAGGCCCACCCCCAGGTCAGACTTGGGAGATTTGATGTGAAAGGTGCCGGGCCTGGGGCTTAGCCTTCAGCACATCTCATTTCCAGTCCACGCAGAGCTCAGGATGTGACTAAGTCACTCCAGGGGCATGGTGGGAAGAGCAGACGGCTCTAAGAAGCTGACCCCAGGGGCTAACAAGTGCCTCCCAGACAGCACGTGAGCCTCCATGCGTGAGCTCGGAGGCCTAGACATGCCGTGTGACCTTGGGCACTGAATTTCCTCATCTGCAAAGTGAGCAAGTTGACAATAAACACAGCATCTTCCAATGCAATCGTCTATGACCCCAAACCTGTATTTATACTAAAAAAGGATGCAAAGAATGTCTCAGCTCCAAACTCACAGGTTGAAGCAAGAATTCTTGTTTCACTGAAGGGGTTTGGGGGTGACCCCCAGACACCAAGCAGAGAACAGGAACAAGGGTTCCCTAGCGTTAGTCACCGAGAAGCAACGGTCCAGGGCTCTGTTTGCTCACTGAGGACAAGATGCTACTTACTATACAGCAGGCCACCAGGGCTCCTTGGGCAAATCCCGCCAGGACATCGCCAGGATGGTGCTTGTGGTCAGATATGCGGGACAGTCCCGTGTAGAAGGCCATCATGATCAAGGTGAACTGCAGCAGGGGCCGCAGCAGGCGGGCCCCTCGCCAAGTGAAGCGGGCCTGCAGGTACAGCTGGAGGGAGGAAACAACAGAACAGTGAGTGACTTCCCGGCCGTGAGCACCAGGTCCACACACACACACACACACACACACACACACTACATTGCTGCTAGATGGAGCTACCCGAACCTTGGCAGCAGGGACTCAACAAAGCACTGGACTTGAACATGGCCCTAAGCCAGTGATCTGAGCCTTGGTTTTCTTATACTAAAAAGTTAGAAACAGAATTTAGCTAGTGGTCTTGGCATACTGCTTGGTGCATAGCAGGCACTCGGTCATCAATGTCAGTTTCCTTTTATCTTCTTGATTAAAACGCATGAGAAGAAATCACCAGGGCTGTAAAGGTTTCCGTTTTACAACCGAAGACGACAACTCTCTTAGGGAACCTGGGAGTTACCGACGCACAATCCCTACATGACCTGCCTCTCAGTACTGCTGTGGAAATAAAATACATTCTGATACCAGGAAGTGATCCTGACACTCCCATGGGGCTGCTTCTACTTCGCAGCCTACCCAAGGACAGGTCCCTGAGCCACCACTTGGAACCACGGGCTTGGAATCAGAATGTAAGGAAACATAGAAACCAAGCAGCCTCCGCCAGAGACCTCGCAGATAGATGCTGACTGCTACTTGGACTGGGTGGAGCAGAAGAGCAACCTGAGGAAAATGGAAGAAAACAAAACCACCTCTGGCCAAGCAGAGAGGTTGAAATGACGTCAACCGGGCATTGTCCCCTCTGAGTTATCTGGCTACAGTTTCCGTCCTAACGTCTGGGCACAAGCCACTTCCCAGGTTCCTGTGGGAACTTGGGAAAGGAGGGGGAAGAGGCAAGGGGCCCAGGGCCACTTCCGACTCCAAATCAAAGCACTCAGGGGAAGAGCTTCCGGGAGCCCTGGCCTCCAGATAGACCCGGGGCAGTGGCAAGGGCGGGGCCTGCCCTGAGGGAGATAAGACAGACACCTTCTTCCGGAGGTCAGGAAAGAGCAAGTCAGCGCCAACCCTTGGGAGGCCAAAGAGCAGAAGATGCAGGAATAGTGTAGGACTGACTCTTCAACTGCTTGGAAAACTATTTCCAAAAAGCCGGGCGTGGAAAACGCCAGGCAACTTTCTAATCAGTGTGAAGTTCCATGATTGTCTGGAAAATTTAACAGTAACAAATGGAAAACTGATAAGTGGCTTCCGTGATGTTGCTGGCCATTCAACTAGTGCCAAAAATCGATGTTTTTCTATGTAAATAATGACCAGTTGAAAAAAATCATCAAAGCAAATATAATTATTTAAATAATTTACCATGAACTACATAGGGCTTTTATGAAGTAAAGGACATAAAGGACCAATCTTAATAGATAAAAAGCTGGGAATCTTAAAAAAAAAAAAAGTCTAAAATCAACTTTTAAATTCAGAAGTTGGTATGTAAATTCAGTTAGATTCCCATGGATATTCTAAAAATATCTGGGAAAAAAACGTTAAAAAAAAGTTAAAAATTAAGCCAAAGATAACCTAAAGACCAACTTTTTGGTGCAAGCCAAGAAAAAAATAGAGAAAGAAGCCATGAACCATGACAGATGCTAGGGACACAGAACTGAGATGTGGTAATTCCTGCCCTGCGGAACATATAGCTGGGCAATACATGAAAACAAAGACGTGGACTATTGTGTGTCCCAGGAGCTGTGAAAGACGGTGGGGGCCAAGGTCAGTTACACAGCAGAGGGATACTTGACTTGAATCCCCAAGACGAATGGCGGTTGCTGGTAGTTAGCGGAGGATGCTGCAGGCACCTGCCAGCACAGTTGCCAAGACTTTAAATCGTTCAGCAGAGCCAGAGAGGAGGGCACACGGTGGGTGATAAGAAGTCGGGCTGCAGAGAGGAGCTGAGGCCAGCTCGTGGAGGGCGCTGGGTGTCAAACTAAGGAAGCTGGGCTTATTTTTGTTACTTTTAATGCTTGTAAGATTAATAAAGGCCATGAGAAGTCCTGCAGTGAAAAAAGAATTGTCAGACCTTAAGTTGCTGCTTTTATTGACTAGCCATCTGCTGAATGACAACTGAAAAACATTATTGTCAACAATCATAAAACATGAAGTGGTCCGAAGCAAGTGTCTGGGAAAGCGGCGCGTCCAGAGAACGAGGCGTGGTACGCCAGCAGTGCCCGCACCACGGGCTGGCCTTGCTGCAGCTACTGTGGGTGGTGGCTGGGGTGGGTCACAGGAAGAACACAGAGGTTCCCATCAGAAGAACCTCACTTGTCTCGTGTGTAAAATAAGTGCCCCAACTTCTGTCTTACAAGCCACTGCGTTCTGGATTGGTTGATGATATACACCAATAAATAATAATGATTCCATCTTCAATCACTTGTCTTAATTTGGGCCTAAGAGCCCCAAGATCGTTTTATTTCCTTTCCTGAAAAATCCGAAGGTCTTCAGAAAACGCTTGTGTGAATTTCTCCAACCCTTCCCCCGCCGGCTGCCTGCAGCCTTTCAGTTCTGGGCCTTGGAAACCAGGGTGGGGCAGAGGAAGGGTGGGTTTCCCAACCGGACAGGGCCCACCTCTCCCTTTGCACTGACTCAGAGACTTAAGGCTGGAGCTTAATAAAAGGGGAGAAAAAAAATACAGCCAGGAGAGGAACTTGAGGAGAGAGGAAGAGACCAGTTTTCAGAATAGCCCCAGGAAGGGAGGGAGGAAAGGTTTATGAATGAGAGAGGAGTTGGGGGCCCTGGGAAAAGCATTCCTCTGGGAAGCAGTCAGAGGTGGAACCAGGGCCGGTAGACTGGGGCTTGCTCCACCCTGTCCATTAGCAAGGAACACTCTTGGAGGAATGTCTTGAGGTCAGGATGGATCCTGGTGCCTGACGCTGGGGCAAAGCGCATTTTGGGATGAGATGACCCTGATTCCTGTCCTGGCCCTGGCCCTGACCAATGATGGTGTCCTTTAATGGACTTCATCACCTATAAAATAGCTTGAACTATAATCCCCCTCTCAGGATCATCAGAATGAAAAGCAGCAGCATGGAAAGGACCCCGTCTGGCAGAGGACGGAACTCAAGACTCCTCAGAATCAGAAGTGACCCTTGTGCCTTGGAGGAAATTTGCTCAATGATGTGATTTTCCCAGGCTGTGTAAGGAGACTGCACAATGACCTTCCACCCAGTGGCTACATCTGATTTGGGAAGTCATGTGGTGCCACCAGGGTTTGAGGTTGACCACAGGCTCTGATAACCCCTGCATCCCACACCAGCCTCCCTGCTAAATGGACTGGATGTTTCTGGTTCAGAGCCCTGTGCAAGCCACCCCAAGCCAGGGCTGGGACCTCACTGGGATCAGTGAGTGCATTCTGGGGCACAATTGGTAACTCAGAGGCTCCATTCATTCCCATGCCACGGGAGGCAAGTATACCAAATTCAAGAGAAGACCGCAAACATCCCTGATCAGGAGGATGCCACACCCTTATCCCTGACCAACAGAGCAAGGCCACATTCTAAGAACCGAAATGCCTGCAGGGGTCCTAAGCACCCTGACAAAGGGTGGTTAGAAAAAGGGTGAGCAGAGCTAGACAAAAGCAGCAAATCTAAGTGACCGTGACCTCTCATAGTCTGCTTCTGAGGTCCTGCCTTGTCTGTGTCCACTTGCCCGAGGTCTACAGAGGCCTCTGAGCTGGAGACACAGCAGCTGGAATCCACTGTGATGCCCATGAAGGGTTTGATGTGCAGCCAGAGCAACAGACCCGAACCTGCACTTTGCTACACATCAGCTGCGTGACCTGGGCCAGCCACTCTGCTTCTCTTTGTTTTCTCATCTACAATACGAGCGTGGCTTGTTTTTCTTTTTGATGTTGCAAGCACTCAACATGTTCAAAACTGAAAGACACAGACATGAGTGATGCATGTTCCATATGCAAATGATCTTAAAGTCCTTTTCTTGTGCTAAGATAATTAAACTGCTGACTACAGTTTAGGACTGTAACAGATTTATGTCTGCCTTCTCTCCTAACACACCCAAAAGTCCTAGGTATATACAACCCTTTCCATAAATGGAATTCTCTCCTCCTTCCTGTCTTAGCATCAAAACTGGGGTCCTGTAGAATTCCAACAAAGCCTTCTTAGACTGCACTCTGCCTGCTCCTCTGGTCTGAACCAGCAGAGTCAGATGTGTGGGTGAGTCACACTCCCATTCTTGCTAAGTCACTTGTGTTTCCTTACCTGATTTGCATACTGGTGAAACAGGTCTGTACTGTCCTCTCCCTTCATTTCCATTTCTCTAGGGACTGCTCAGCTAAGAGTGAAAAGGAGGCTTTTGTCCTGCCCTGGGTGTTTGCCTATCCTCTGCCTGGAAGCTGCTCTAGCTCACTGACACCCAGCGAGAAACTTTCTCTCTTCTCTCATCTTCTCCACAGCTCCTATTTGGCTCAGGTTCAATGCACCTGGTGGTTCACTGACATGATGCAGAACTGGAATTTCTCTCTGGGAAGTTACTTAATAACTCTGAGGACCGAAGAAGAATTTGTGGTTCATTTGTCCTCCTTTAGAAGAAAATCCAACCTTGTCTTCCGTCACTATTGTGGCAGAAAGGAAAGTAAACGTGGCTGAGCACTGTTGTAGATGTGGCTCTCAGTGCTTTAAATTCCATGCCTACAAAGGTTCCAGAAAGGACACTATTGTGCCCATCTTCCAGATGGAGAAGTCAAGGCTACCATGCCCAAATCAAGGCTACAAGAGGCCATACTGGCTCACGGCTAGAGAGTCATGATTCACACAGGGTAAGACTGCCTCCTTCTGAATCCGTGCTGTCAGCAGCGAATCACCTGGTTTCCTTATGAATTACAGCTTGACATGCCCAGTACCGATGCACCTGTCTTTGCAGGAAAGAAGCAATCCGAGATGACTACATATCTGTCGTAGACGAGAGGACAACTTCCAGGAGATATCGCACCTCGGGCTCCTTTTCTCCACCCATCATAGACTCTCAGTCTAAAACACAGGCATGCCACTGTAACAGAGAATCCTGTCCAGCCTGATGTCAGGCCAAGAGTAGCCCACACCGAGCCAGCACGGAGCTAGCACAGCTCTCGGCAGAGACTACAGCCCCTTCTCCTGCCCCACCTCCCGGACCACCCCTTGCTGGGGATCTTGCACTACTGGTTTCCAGCTATTCACTTTGCTAGTCACACAAAATCAGAAGCTCCGGAGGAGTCACCAGGAGCTCACACAGGGTCCAGCACAGAACAGGTGCTTAGAAATGGATGGATGGATGGGCAGAGGGGCAGGAGGAAAAGTAGGCACAGTATCTGCTACCCTGGTTTATTTCCCTGGGAAACAATGATCTTATTCTCACAAGAGCTTTCAACAGACAGGACGTGTGAGGATACCTCGTGGGTACACCAGATGCCTTGCTCCGGTATCCCAGTGTTGGACAAAACCTCAGTGACTCACAACCACAGCCCAGAGACCACGGCTACCAGAGGACAGCCACATCTCTGTTTCGTTGGTACCCAACAAACCTGTCAACACATGAATAGTTCTCCTGGCACAGCACAGGAAAGAGGCAACGGGTAATGAGTTGAACAAGGAGGACGCAAAGGTCTTCCCCACATCACGCAGGCCTCAGCCATCTGTTAAGTCAGTGATGAGAAGACACAGGAAGTTTTGATGAGAATGGGAAGGAGTGCAGCCTGGGAGTATCCAACAACCCAAGATCCATTCATTCACCAGGCGCTGTTTTTGGAAAGGGGATACAGTAAGGAGTGGTCCAAAAACAAAAAAATCCTTCTCCCCGGAACTGACAATTTAGTTGGTACAGACAAAACAAGCAAGGGAATATACAATATGCCAAGCAGTAGGAACCTGGGTGGGTGGCAGGAGAGAAAGGCTGCCCAGATGGGCAGGGAGTGCCAGTACCAGAGAGGGGCTGTCATTTTCAACAGGTGTTTGGTGTAGGCGTCTCTGAAAATGTGACCTTGAGAAGGCAAGGAGGCAAAGTGCACATTCCCAGGGGAAGGGCATAGCATCTGGGCAAAGGCCTGGATGGGACCTTGCTGCTGCCTGACCTGAGCTGTGGCTGTGGCTCCCAAAGGCGCACCCAGCCCTTGAGGGTGTTTTGCACCCCTGCAGCAAGGCGGTAGTGAACTGCCTGCAGCTCCCCCAAATCGTCACCTGCACAGTCTCCCTGTCTTCACAGGACTAACACTGTGGGGAGTCAGCCCTGGCTTCTGCCACCCTCTGCTCCAGGCCAGCCTGGGTGAGAGTCTGAATGTCCATAATAACCCATACTGCTCCTCGCCCCGCCTTTACAAGGTACCAAGCTATTATCATTGTCCACTGCTCCTCTAGACTGAATTCCCCAAAGGCTGAGACCATACCTTACTAATCTGCACCTTCCCACCCTTCCCATGATGCTTGGTGCATAATAGCCACTCATTAAATACATGCTGGATGCAGAATGCATAGGTGAGTTTCCTTAAGGGTAGAACCCGGGTCTGATTCATTTCAGTAGCCCCAGGAGGTAGCAGAGACCCAGGCACGACAGAGGGGCTAGCAGGTGTGCTGTGTGAATTGGTGCCTGCCCAAGTGCTGGCATTTTATCCAGACAGCCACTTTATCTTCACCAGATATGGTCCTCTGCCATGTAGGCCAAGGCTCAGAGGTAGGACACATAGTTTGGGCTTATATATGCTGTGGGGTTTTTCTTATTAGAAATTGCATTAATCGCTAACAAGTCTTAACTTCATCCTTAGGCTTTCTTGCCCAGAGAAAATTCAGTGTTGAGAGCATGGTTTTCCCAAGCTAATTATCCAGAAAAATCTGTGGCAGTGGGTGTCATGATCAGCTTAGAAGGAAGGCAAAAATTGAAGTCAGGGTCAGGAGCAGAAATGCAGTTGTACCAGTACTCCTCCTATTATCGCTATTATCATCACAGATGTCAGCGAGAAGAACCTGCCATCACACCAGAGTCATAACGCCCAGCCTCCTACTATCCCCCGTCTCTCACTGACCTCAGAACTTGTGGTAGCGAACTTTTTAGATTTAGGCTTGTTTGTATCTGAAACCAAGAGCATCCACACACACTTCCTGAGACCACTGAGAAGAAATGTTGTGGCACAAGCTTGCAGACAGCAGGCAGCCAGACAAGTCAGCATTTCACCTTCAGGGCAGCTGTGCCCGGTGATGGCTCCAAAATCCTACAGGACTTTTCTCTTGGAAGAAAATGAAGACACACACACACACACACACACACACAACACACAGCCCAGACTCCTCCAAGTACCTTTACAAAACACTGAAATTACATTTGTGAAATTGCTTCCAGCCCTGGGTAAAATATACAAGCCAAACAGAACCTAGGTCTCTTGGCTAAATTATCCTCTCTAAGAGCAAAACAAAAACAACAGAAATAGGAAGAATGGAGGGTAGCGCTCTTCATGAATAAATAAGATTCAGGTCCAATGTTTTCATAGCTTGGGGCCCACCTTTCAGTGGTCCCTAACAGGAAGCCCAGCGGCCCCCCAACTTGGAAAGGCTTGGGGGACAAACACAAAACAAAAAACGGCCTCTCTGTTACTTTTTCCAATCCCTAATTATGTTTTTCAAATAAGTTGCAATCCAAACGTCCTTTTTTCCAAATCGCTTACGCTCCTCTGAGCTACGTCTGACCTCTCAGCACCTTCTCTCTCTGAACTGCATGAAAGCAGCCGAAAGCAGGAAGTGCCTTGGCACTCGGACCTCATTCAAGCAGAGAGGAAAGGCAGGGAAGCCCGCGTGGAACTGACAAAGGAAAACAGCCCAGCCTCGGTCTGTCCAGCAGCTGGAGGGGGGCTGGGCCCTTCCCCGGCACTGTCCAAGCGGCTCCAGGAAATCAGAGCAGACACCGCGGGGGGGAGTGGGGGTGACCTGGGACTTCAAGCTGTGGTTCCAGCACCAGCTAAAGGACCTCCAATTGCTTAACCACTCTGGGCCTCGCTCGCTGTGTCTGAGAAACGAGGCCACAGTTCGGTACTTCAGGGTTTGTTGTGAGGCCGCAAATCCTCGTGGCTGCGGAAGTGCTGCCCAGAGGCTCTCCATGTAGTCAGATAACAGTGAGCTTTCCACTGATGGAATACAGAGGACGGGGGCTAGTGAACATTGCCTGGCATGTGATCGGGAGCCTTGGATTTGAGCCAACCATCCTGGCATTTATGCAAATTTTGGCAGCTCACTTGAATTCTCTGAGCCTTAATTAATAATCGTTTCCCACAATAGAGAAAATATTATTTCTAAGGTTGATCTAAGAATCAAATGGGTTAATGGAGTTTTCAGCAAAGAGTGCTTGTTCCACGTAAATTCCATCACATTATCATTTCATCATGGGTGCACCATCCTCATCAAGCACCCACGACAAATGCTATTTTTACTTGAAAAATGGAAACAGCCTGGAAAGCAAATCACTCCTGCGAAGGCAGTGGCAGACCTCAGAATGAAGCCTAACCTTGCTAGCTAACCTGTTTTTCAAGGATTTCATGATGCACAGTGTCCCTAACTATTTGGGGGGGTTTGCCCTCAGAAGGGATGCAAGCTGTGACTGAACCCTGTTGGAAGCTGAGGAAGGTACTTACCACCAAATACAGCATAGTGTACATGGAGAAGGAGGCGTGGCCAGAGAAGAAGGACCTCCTGCAAGAAAGAGAGGGCCATATTTACATCTCTGATACACACGTGTCTCTCGGTCTTCCCTCCCTAGACTGTGACCTTGAGAGCAAGCACTGGGTCTCGCTCACTTTTGCATCCTTGGTGATGCTTTGGACACACGCCTGGAACACAGCAGGCACCCAGGAATGCATGGATAAACAAAAGAATTAGTGAGCAAATAGACTCACCAATGCTGGATCATAATAATAGTTTATTTACAAATCTGTCTCAATCATTTGATTGTGAGTGGCTCAAGGATAGCGGCTATGCCTTATTTACTCATCTAAACCAGAGCGCACTGCTGCCTTGGCACCTAATGGGAGCTCAGTAAGTGCTCACTAAAACTGCACAGCATCAGAGAGATATGTCGTGGCCATCGGGAGGTTGTGTCTCACCTGGCTTCCTGGACTTTGCTCTCATCACCTCTGCACCTGTAGTTCTGAATGTAGCCCTCGGAGCAATTGATCTGGCTGAAGTCAGGGTTGCAGACACTCAGGAAGTGAGGACGCAGGCGCCCTATGGACACTTTGGCAATGTCTGTGAAGGACTGGCTGATGGCACAGCCAAAGAGAAAGCAGCCCACTTGCTTATAGAGTGCTGCCACGTAGGGATTCCGAATGGTCGACCGAGACTTCTCCTTCAGGTAATAGATCCGGTAGAATTCCCCTATGATGATCTAAAAGGAAACCAACAGGGAAATTAGGCAGGTTCAAGATCCATCAGTGACACCAAGGATGTAAAGAATACTTAATGATGGGGCTGGCACTGTGGCTTGGTGGGTAAAGCCGCCGCCTGCAGTGCCAGCATCCCGTATGGGCACAGGTTCAAGTGGAGCTGGCTGCTCCACTTCCGATCCAGCTCTGCTATAACCTGGGAAAGCAGTAGAAGATGGCCCAAGTCCTTGGGCCCCTGCACCCACGTAGGAGACTCGGAAGAAGCTCCTGGCTCCTGGCTTCAGATCAGCGCAGCTCCGGCCATTGCGGCCAATTGGGGAGTGAATCAGTGGATGGAAGACCTCTCTCTCTCTCTCTCTCTCTCTGCCTCTCCTCCTCTCTGTGTGTAATTTTGACTTTCAAATAAATAATCTTTTAAAAAAATACTTAATAACAGAATATTTAGTATTTAGCTACATTTTATATTCTAAACTATTCAAATCTTCTCTTTACAGAGTACATAAACACAAACATGCAGGGGAGGAAAGATCCAAGAAGTAAGATGGTTATTATTTCCCCCTTTTTTTATTTAAAGACCTAAATGAAAGATCTCTGTGAGTGAGATCCCAGTGGAAAGAACAGGTCATCAAAGAAGGAGGTACCTTTCTCTGAAGGGAGAAGAGAACTTCCACTTTGACTACGACCTTGTCTAAATATGATCAGAGTCGGTGAACTCAAAAGGCTTCCATAGTCTTGGCAACTCATGACAAGAGCCTAGGGTGATTACTGAGGCCATAAACAAGAGTGTCAATTTGTTAAGTCAACAACAGGAGTCACTGTGCACTTACTCCTCATGTAGGATCTCTGTCCTTAATGTGCCGTACATTGTGATTTAATGCTGTAACTAGTACTCAAACAGTATTTTTCACTTTGTGTTTCTATGTGGGTGCAAACTGTTGAAATCTTTACTTAATATATGCTAAACTGATCTTCTGTATATAAAGAGAATTGAAAATGAATCTTGATGTGAATGGAAGGGGAGAGGGAGCGGGAAAGGGGAGAGTTGCGGGTGGGAGGGAAGTTGTAGGGGGGGAGCCATTGTAATCCATAAGCTGTACTTTGGAAATTTATTTTCATTAAATAAAAGTTTAAAAAAAAAGTCATACAAGGCTTTTGCAACAAGAAAAATATACAACCAAATATATTCATACACACATGCGTGCACACACACACATATAAAACCTTAGTAAAAGAGACATCTAAGTACTTACTAACAAACATTAAATTAATGAGGAATCCAGGACACAGTAGTGACCAGGATCTCAAGATTCTGGGATTTCGGGCAAAGGATCACCAACAATCTAACTCTACTAAGTGACTCTACTTAGTGACTACTTGGTGTTACTAAGCTCAGGCCCTATGCTAACACTGAGTTAATGGTGGGAGTTTCTATAGAAGAGATGACAAATACCAAGGCCAAGTCCTAGGTTTGAATCTGGGCTCTGCCTCCTCTCTGGTGTCCTGCAGCAGTAACTTAATCTCTCCCAAGTTCAGCTTCCTTCTCCAGTGAAGGAAGCCAGTCATCTTCGCAGAAGATATGATAACAGGGATGGGAAATAACCGGACTCAAAGAAACAATGCTTTTATTTTACTTTTTAGAATTCTGGGTGCAAAGAAAAGCACACTAGTCTAAAATCCAAGAAAGCTTTAGTGCCATGCTCTTCTGCGATGGTGAATTGCTTCCAATCGGCCTGTCTGTTCAGGTGCTGCAGGACATCAGGAGAGCCACAGTGTTCACCCACTGCCTCCCTCCCACGGCATCTCCCCTCTTGGTGCTGAGGGGACACCTAGGACTTCTAGAACAATTATTGTATTGATTGCCTGCTGCATACCGGCCATTGCTTCAATGCTAGGCTACGTCGAGTAGTTTGTGGGGACTGGAATTAAAATTTTTTATTTTAGTACCAAAAATATTTTGAAATGCATGCATTAAAAGGCATCTTCAGAATGTTCATGGAAACTTGAGTATTATGAAAAAACAATGCATGAATTTCAAAATTGGTTTTCCTCCAAAATAACTTAGCTTTTCATTCCCACATTTCCACTTTTTGAACTCCCATGATGTTTCACTCCATGAAATCCACACTATCATCTCGAGAGGGGAAGTCCCTCACCCAAAACTGCCTGCTTTGACATGAAGAATGGGACCCAGCGCTGCTGGTCAAGGTGAGTGTTAATGAGGTCTACGTATCCAAGGGTCAAATCAGCTTTGATGATGCACAACTGTGCCTACTGCCCTTATCTTAATTCCACAGCACTTCCTGGTTGCAACCACAGCCCAGGGACAGTGATGGCCAACTCATCACTCACCGCAAACGTCCCTTTCACACTTCCTCATGGGGTGGGATGATGAGCCACACTTGCCCATTCAGAGAGCAGACAGTGTGTTCATGACCACAAGGGAAGCAATACACGCATATCCGGATATTCCTCTGCAAGGGCTCCTGTTACTCTTTTGCAGAAGGCAAAGGCATCAAGGCATGGGGTCTGACCAAAGTACTCACGGCTTCGGAAGCCGGAGGAAGGACAGCCATGTTGGACAGAAATAGCAGCTGGGCCCAGAGGCACGAGCAGGTGCAGGAATGAGAACAGCCACTGCCATTGCCAACACTGACACAGTAACTCTGTGTTGATAAATGCTCTATATTTGTAAGTGCTCCACTTTGTTTTCCCAAACCACACTGAGTGTCATTCTTCATGAGAGGGACGCGGCCAGCCGGTAGCCTGGCTTAGCCATTCCCCGAGAGAGCAGAACTAGTCCATGGCCCTGCATAGGTGTTCGGAGACTACCGCTTGAAGGAACAAATAAATAAAGGGGCGGATAGGAGTCCTCAGAGTTCCCTTGTTGCAAAATTGGAAGTATCCCCTAAACATTACCAAAAGCCCTTTGATAACACGTTGCAGAGATTAAAATCCAAGAAGCATGGAAGGTCAGAAATGAAAGGGGCCATTATACAGAGAGAAACCGAGGCCCAAATTAACTCACAGCTGAAGATTGGACCCAGGTGTACGGACTCCCCGCCCAGCATTCTTTCCGACCATTCATGATCTAATCCCCCTTTTGAACCTGTTTATACTTTTACCCTATGTAACCTTACAGGCTAACAAGTTCCAGATGTGTATTACCACAATCATGTTTTTTCTACCCTTTCTTACTCTTCTTTATTTCTAAGTCAGACTCACCTGACTTTATATACGGGACTAGAACTCTGACCTAGAAAAGGCAAGTGGCCAGGGTTCCAGTCCTTCGTCACTGTGTCAATTTGGGATAAGCTGCTTTCTCCATGCGCAAATCATGGCGCTAGAACTCTGTTGTATTGCTTCCAATTGCAATGACATTCACCCTCAACTCTCCTGCACTGCCTTCACCGCTAGCTTCCCAAGCAATCAACAGCACCACACAGGGAAGTTACTTGCAGACAACACCACTGGCCAGGAGCAGAAGCGAGGCCCCAGGCACGTTCCCTGCCCTTGGATGGTCCCCAAGCTCCTGGAATCATGCCCCTGCCAGAAATGGAGAAACTGTTTCTAAGTGGGCTCAGCTTGGGCCCGTCTAGACTTCTTGTTTGATGCCGAGCGTGAACTTGTGGGTTTCTACTTGCCAATCAAACAGCAGCAGTTGTGAGAACACTGACTTGTGTCAGGTGAGTCTCCTCTCTGCCTCGGTCATATCAAGGAGGGGTTTAGATGACAATTCAGGGACGACTCCAAGATCCCCTCATTCTAAATGCCATTTCTTCAAGGGCCCACACGAGCTTCAAATAGTAAACTGGCAATTAACACGCTGCTCCTTCTCATGGGAAGATAAAAAGGCCAAAGAGGAACGTTTTATGGTACCTCAAACTCCTAATAAAAATATTTCTAACAGCAAGCCGGCTCTGACATTTCTTTTGTACTTTAGCTCATTTAATCCACAGCTGTGTGAAGAAGATACACCCATTTTATAGATGGGGATAGTAGGGCGCTGGGAGAGTGACTCTGCTGAAGGGTCCGAGGCCAGCACGTGGCAGAGTTAAGAGCAGAGCCCAGGTATTTTTTCTCTCCAGTTCCAAGACCCATAGCCGTTCTATCACCACAGCAGTATGGTTTCTATTGTTCAAATATTGTTTTCCATGGTGGAACGGCAATCCCATGTTTCCCGGGACAGGGCCAGGCTGAAGCCACTGAGGAGACACAGGACTCCAGGAGCACACGGCTGCTGGAGCAGCCCTGACAGATCTTAGAGTTAATGAGCAACAAATTATGTATTTTCTCTGTCCTCTGGTCCAGAGGGGTCGGGGAGTCGACAACACAGCCATAAATCATCGTTATGAACCAGCCGGACTTGACTTCTTGTAATCCTAACCCTTAAAAGGCCATTTAATGAAATTTGGGCTGTGAAAGGCAGCGCAAACGCCTCACCTCTGCAGAAGAGGCAATGGCTTAAACTGTTCTCGGACACGTTACACACCTAACTCCGCAGTCCCAGATTTACTGCTTGCGGACTTTATTCATTACTCACCATGTTTTTATTCCCAGGTAATAAAATAAGCTCTTCCCTCTCCCTCCCCCCTGCACAGGCTCTGTCCCTGGCCCCAGAGCCCTCCTTTCTGCCGCAGTCAGCAAGGTTCTGATATGTAAATTTCACCGCTGAGAAACATGCCTTGCACACAGCAAGCTAGAGATTCTAGGGGTGTTGGCCGGCTGCCAGCAAGCACAGGCCGATTCTCCCCTACCTGCCTTTTGCAGCGCTTGGCAAACTAATCAAGTGAGAAAGCATGGCAATTAGGCAGTGAGGGGACAGAGAGAGATCAGTCCTTGCCAGAGAGGGGCTGCAGTTTGCAGGGTGGTTCTCTCCATCACATGGCCCTTCTTCTTGTCTTTTCTGGTGAAAAAGAGCTCAACTGCCCATGGATTGACAAACATCGATCTGTTTGGAAGACGAAACCTGCAGCGATGTGAAGACTGACATTTAGAAAGGACA